AATATTACATCAAATTCTAGCGTTAATGCGATATCGATGTTACTTACACAACGTAATAATAATATTGCGGGGGGGGATGTTACTCGAGCTATATATACGGCGAACGTATTTTTCGTTTGCGATACCGAGCGGTTAAGCAACATTTCCGCCTTTTGCGGAACTAACAGCGCTTGCCATCCGTGAATTAATCATGAGCTTGAAAATCATTCGTCGCGCACCGGCTTATGCATCCGGCGCAGAGTGCCGACCGGGCGAATATTTACCGGGGTGCACGATCGGGCCGCACTGAATCGCGTACTGTTTGCGGCAAATTCCACGAGAAATTCCATTGTAATTGAACGAGGCTGACTCGATTATAAAGTCAAATCATCGGCAGGTGGAGAGACGGCAGGAAACTCTCTTTCTTCCACGAGCGAATGCGTTTTCCTTTCCTCCGCCGCGTCGCGCCGTCGACTTTTGTACTTCACCCTCTTCTTCTCTCTTTTTCGCCCGTCGCTCTCAAACGCGCTGTGCCAAGTCGAGGTACAGACAATGACGGCGTCTTAGGGATCTCCTCCTAGCTGCACCTTCCCGCGGAACGTTTCCAAAGAGACTACTTTGACAAAATTTAGGAAGTCCCCGAGCTCGTGCAAATTACCGGTGCTGTTAAAGAATGGGAAACTTGACAGGAATCTCGAAAAATGGAATTGCCTTTAAGGTCCTTGGAATAGTAAACGTTGTCGGCTTTAATTTAACGCCAGATCCGTAATAATACATCGAGAGTTGACGCAATAACGGAGTACTTTATAATAGAACTCGATTTACTTCGATAATGAAAAAATGACAACTTAAAACTTTTGTTGTCCACGCTCACATTCTGAAATCAATCTGTTTCGCGAATGTTTCGTAATATTTCGTAACACGTAGGATATTACGTGATAATTTCGAAGATAATACCATATTTAAGCAATTTAATCGATTAATTAATATATATATTTATATTTGCTATTAAACGAACACATACAGTAAAAAAATATACAAAATGTTGATGAATATTTGTTTAAATGGTACTAACTAAATATATTTATCAAAGCATATATGTGTAAGCATATATTTATTTTTTCGGTGCAAGAATCATTAATTTTTTTTATTCAATTATAATTTTTCTATTAAGTTAATATTTATTTACCGTAATTAAATGTGTTTGGTTAAAGCTGTTGGAAAAATATTATTACGATTTAGTAAATTTTTTTTTCTCAGTGCAACAAATGATTAATAATATTCGATATGAAATAACTAAAATCGGCTGATTTGTAAAATAAAACGAAAATTGGTTAGACGCGAAAACTGCAGTTTCGTCGCGAAATCGATTTCTTTTCTCGTTCGATTCTCCCGATGAAATGTCATACACGAAGATAAAGCGATATACTAGTACAAGGTTGAGGGGAGACTCGCGCAGTTATATTACACGCCTATTCCTAGGGCGTCTCCTCTGGGAACGGCGCCACATCGAGGGGCGAAAGTTAGTGCCGCCTGGGGGATCGGTACGACCGATAATTGAGGCTTGAATTAAATTAGCCTTCGGTGTTCCATTCCAGAACGACTGAAAGTCTCGCGCGTTGCTCGCGCGATAACCGAATTGACCCACGTTCGGCCGATCTAATCGCGATTATCGATCACCGCTCTTATACTGAGGTTTCATTAGGATCGATATCGCTCCGCAGTTAAATCGGTTAGGCAAGATGCATAATGGATTAAGCAAACGCACGTGAGTTTGATGGCGATCGAGCTCTCTTCCCTTTGACTCGCGTCGCTCCTCGCAAACGCCATCGCTCTTACGGTTTCGCGATGATAATTCTTACGAAAGAATAACATGGATGTTCGTCCGCGAGCGCGATAGTTGGAATATGAGAGAAAGAGAGAGAGAGAGAAAAGCGACGTAAATTGCGGTATCATAATGAAGCGGAGACCCGCGCGCGACGCATCGATTTGCGAAAAATAAACCGGAACAAGGAACTTTATCTCGTATTTCTCCGCGAAACTTGGAAAGTTCTGAATATCAAAGTTGTAATTTATCGTAAGTACTTAGATTCCCCGGCGGGGCCACCGTATCTATTATCGTCGCCAATTTTTCGTCCCGGGAAAACGCGTTATCAATATACACCATCGCAGAATGCGATATGACGCAACTGCCAAAAGACACCTAGCCCGTATATTTCTCGTTTGAATTGTTGCCATCCATTTACGTTAAATAAATCATATTACGTAATAACGTACGGAGTTGTAATGTACGGCGACACGGAAATGCATTCGCGTCGAGTAAATGGATTTACTTAAAAGTTTAATAATACAAGCAATAATTTACGTGCCCTTTAGGAGAAGTTAAAACGGAAATTCATTAAAACATTATGATGAAATCCTATGAGATGAATAAAACACTATGATTTCTCGTAAGACTATATTTTAACTGGATATATTAATGAAATTACGATAAAGGAGCACAGCCAATCTTGGAATAAGATCCGTATTGTATCTTCGTATTTGCAGTCTAGTTGAAGAAGGAAAAGCTAAAGAAATTGGTTTGGCGAATTCAACCATATTCGTTTTCTAATTAATTTGTTTCCTGTCAGCTCTGACTCCATAACGAATTCCACGAACGGAGAAAGAAAATTCCCGTTCGGGAGGGAAAGATTCGAACGGACGGACGCGGTGCCAATCACCGCGCCATCGGGAACGATGTGGTCGCGATTAAAAATGTAAATCAGCCATTGGCGCTGATATTGTTAGCGAGCGAGAAAGTTTGCGATCCAGCGGCGCCGCCGTTAACCCTAAGTGGAAACATGGAGCCGGGAAAAGTGGCGGAAGAGTTGGGAGAGAGCTCGGAAATGCGAGGGATTGTAACCAGAATGAGGAGGGTTGATCAGTCAGAGATGTCCTGCGGGGAGATAAGTTTCTTGGTGCAATCAGTGCCTTCGCTGTCTCCTTCACCCTTTTGCAGCCCTTCCTCTCAGTCGTTCTCTTATATCGGCCATCTCGTCGGTGTACCATTGTTGTGGCATTCACTTATTTTCACATTTTCGAGACTTGAGATAATGTGGCTGCTCGCGACATTCGGCTTATGATGTTTTTGAAGGAGTTCTTATGCATTCGTGGACAAAGGCTTGGCGAGATTTAGGGAAAGGCCACTTGTGAAATCGACATGATTGTAACAAATTACTTTTTTTTATTGCAGAAAAATTGTCTCACATGAATTACTTAATAATTACTTAATAATTATTGGCTTTACTGTTATTACTGTTGAAAGATCACGAAGATTTCTTTCATGTCTTTATCCA